GTTCCTAAAGAAACAATATCAACGCAAAGGACGAGGTTTTTACTTGAAAAAGAAAAAAAAATGCGGCTAAATTATCTTTATGGGATACTCACGGATTTTCGCGACTTTTTCTGGGATGATACTACATGATGGTAGGAATTCAGAACACTTTTTATTTTTTGTCGAACTCAATTAGTTTTCGAAATATAGTCTGTCAAAGTTTGTATGACGTCATATTTTACCTTTTTTTTTAAAGCAATAAACGATTGCAATTCACATATTTTTTTATTTAACACAACTTTTTCCATATCATCGCACCTTTTTCTGTCCCGTTTCAATCAGTTATTGTCGAGTTTCCTGAAATTAGAATTGAATTCCATAATTTGTGCACACATCGACATAACCTTTTAGGTTATGTCAGCGGGTACACACAAATCACTTTTAATAAATTGCATTAAGTGTCACTATTCCAAAATACGTTCCTTTTAGAATTCGGAGATCAGGTTAGATGATGAGGAAATATAGTTTTTACAAAACTAAATATTCGAAAATACGTTCCTTTTAGAATTTGGAGGTTAGGTTGAGGATATATGTTGATACATATATCCTCAACCTCTAAAAAACTATATGTTGAGGATATATAGTTTTTTAGAATTCCAAAGTTAGGTTAGGTCGGGTTAGGTTAGGTTGAGTTAGCATGTGACAAGTTATGGAATTTCAATCTAATTTCAAAAAACTTGGCAATAAGTGAATGAAAAGGGATAGAAAGAAGTGCGATGATATGGAAAAAGATGTGTTGAATAAAAATAATAAAAAATTTGACAGGCTATATCTCGAAAACTAGTTGAGCCCGACAAAAAATAAAAAGTGTTCTGAATTCCTACCATCACGTAGTATCATCACTGAAAAAATCGCGAAAATCCGTGAGTATCCCATAAAGTAAAATTTTCCCAAAACTTCTACTGAACCTTCCATAATCTGAAAAATAAACTAAGTTCAATCAATAGGGAATACGCTGAAGTGTAAACCACTGAAGAAGTCAATTAGTAACTTGTATACATAATTTTTACTCAAAAATTGAAAATAAATACATATTTATATTAAAAGAGGACGTATGCTTCTCCATTCACAAGCGACTTTGGTGAAATTGGCGACACGTGTGAATCGTATTTGTGCCACGTGCCAGTATACGGGTGTCTGCAGTATGCTGTATAATGTCCTCTGTTGGTAGTCCCACTGTGATTTAAAAGTGCATATAGGTTATAACAAGTAGCCACATTTTCTGCTGCAAAATTGTCCATATCCAATCCTTCTAGAGAAAATTCGATGACATCATTCAATTTGCCTCTACTTTCCGTTGAAGAGAATCTTTTTAAATGTATTACTAAAATATAGGGAAACTTGTGGATTGATAGGGACTTTGTGCATTTTCTCCTTTCCTTGCATTTTGAACACGTCGGTTTTTCAATTCCATCCAAAGTTTCTTCTCTTGTAAAAGAATCTAAGCATTGCTACAAACTCAATTGGTCGGTTCTTTGTGGTATGAAGAGAGACAAATCCCAGAAAGGATCAAATGTTACTGAAGAGTATCCACAGTGTGTGCATTTCATCGTGGATTTCAATCGGCCAACGAAAATATCTACAATCTTAGAGTTATGCATCCTCAAATATGTGAGCCATGCCTCTTGTGCATTTCCGCTGTCGCTCAATTTTTCGTCAATCTCCGTTAAGATTGGTTTAGGTTTCTCATTAATTATATTAACCTCTTCATGTAATCCATCTAAAAGATAACGGAGCAACTCCTGGGCGTCTTGATGGGAATTACCCATGAATCGAGGAGCAAAACTTTGAATCTGATTTTTTAAGGAGGCTGTATTTACTATTTTATGAAATGAATCTTCTGACCACAACTCCTTGATGACTTCTGCAAACGATTTGATTAAAGCACCCTTCATACTAGAAATACTAGTATTGATATCTTTCATGAATTCATCCTTTTTCAAATATTCCAATAACCATCTCGTATTTGATAAACATTGAATTACGCTGTTCATGAAACAGGTGTTACCAATATTTTTTAAACCATTTAACCCAAATGTTTTGACTGAAGAATTTATCACTGAACAATCCGAAATATCTTTGAAACCCATTTGAGAATTTTGCTGGGATAAAGTATTTTTTCATTTGCTTTTATTTTAATTTCATAAAGTGGTTTCTTATTACCTCTCTTTTCTTTATAAAATTGGTTTTCAAAGTCGCTTGTGAGTGGAGAAGCATACGTCCTCTTTTATGTAAAGGATGGAACAAAATTGCACCTTCAAGATAACCGAGGGAAAGTTTCTTTGTGCAATTATTATTTATTTTTTGTTAATTTCTTACATAGTGAAATACTAGTTTTATAATTCAATTTTCATAAACGTTTTGTAATATTAGATAGATAAATTCACCGTTTTTCTGTTCTGTTTTTTTATTCTCATTGATTTTTGTAGAAATAAATAATATATCCCTCTATTTATACTTAGCTTTCTTTAGTGATCGACGATTCGTGAAACTATCTTTTTCCGTTTTCAAAATCTGAAATTCACTTTAAAACTTTCGCTTCAAATTATGAATAGCTCTAATTCTTTTCACATATGTCAAAACGATGAAATGTCCAGATGTCATATGCGATAGCCTACAGCCTACATGAATACATATACTGGATGTTTTTTGAGAATTCAGTTGAGGTTCATATTTCCGTTTTCAATCTCTCGTCTCAGTAATGACAACCAGGTACGATCCATTTCCACAGAGCTTTTTGGACACACTTGTTACCTGCTGGAAAAATATATGCGGATTCTTTGTTGTATAAGAGACATTGTAGAATAGTTTGATGTACCTGTTCAATTGATGACACTACCACTTAAGACATTCTAATGTGAACTATTGTCGAGACGAGTATATATTGCTTGCACAATAAAAAACTCATCAGATCTCATAGTGAGCCAAGTTTCCTACGTCAGAGAGTGTAGACACGACTTAATTAGGGTTTGTATCCTACCTTATGGTTCAAATATGTGGTTTTGCCATTACTTCATTCAAGGCAAAACATTAACAAACTGTGGTTGTGTCTATGTGATATTTTAAGCATTAGGGTTTGCAGAGTTAAGGCGTTTCTACACGTTCTAACGTCTAAGGAGTTTGGCTAACTATGAGATCTGATTTTTTATTGTGCAAGCAACATGTACTCGTCTTATCAAATTTACATGCAGTGGGATTGAGTTGAAGTTTGAATGAAATAGTGTTTTGATAGTGAATACAGAGAACAGTCTGTATTTCAATTCCATTCCATTTCCATTCTAGATGGAGACCTGTGAATGATATTCAAGTGGTTGTCAAAAATAGCACTATCCATTTTTCTGAAGTTACGAAATTTCTTGGAACTTATATAGATAGTGGAATGAGTTGGGAAAATGATATTGATGCCATAAGCAAAAAAGTGAACACATGTTACTATGCTATATCGCAATTAAAAAATATGTTCAATACCAATCAACTCATCAGTGTATATTATGCTCTAATCTACTGCAACATATCCTATAACATCAACATCTGGGGATGCTCCAGTAACTCAAGCAGAATATTTGTTTCCCAAAAAAGAATTATTCGACTCATTTTCAATCTAAAACCAGATGAATCGTGTCGACCATATTTTCAAAAATATAAAATTTTAACAGTTCCATGTATTTATATTTTCAAATGTATAATGTTATTTATGCAACATGTTGAGATGTATCAAACAGTTTCTCATTGCCATGGTTACCCAACTAGAAACGGAGACCTCATCAGAATTCCTGCACACAGCTCATCATTCTGTGAAAAAAGCCCCTCATATAGAGGTATAAAGTTTTTCAATCATCTTTCTGCAAATATGAGAGCGCAACGGAATAAAAACATCTTCAAATCAGAATTGAAAGTACATTTGCAAGACAAATGTTACTATAGTATCAAATAATTTCTTGATGCAAAGTGAAAATGTGTTTGCTTATATGTGTGAATATAAATGTAATAAATGCTAGAAAAATCCTCACTTGTTTACTTTGCAGTAAATGTTCAAGAGGTAGTGACAACTCATGTGAATTTTTAGAACTTCATCTAGCGTTTCCTAATATGACTAATAACCAGTCCGTGCAAAGTTTATTGTTAAAACATCTGGAAATGGAATTTTTAACAGGTAATGATCGACTGTATTGCCAAATATGCGCCAAACTAACTGACTGTTATAAGGCAACAAGTATAACTGAGGCACCAGTCAATCTAATCATATCACTGATGATCTTCAAGCAAGACTCAACCTCTGACGGAAGCAGGAAACTCTTTCAAAAGTTCGAAATAGATGAACATTTCAATCTAGCAGACCAATCATGCAGTCATTGTTTACTGTAGTTCTGGCGTTGAATTTGGTTATTATAACGCCTTGGTCAAAGACGGAACGGACTGGTTTAAGTTTGACGATAGTTGTATCACGAAGTATTCTGGCGATGTATTGAACCTATTGGAGCCTCCGAAGACACCCTACATTTTGTTTTATGAGAGAGAGGACATTGGCAGATCAAGATCTTCAGACGATGTGGTGCTGCAGGTTTTTCCGGGTTTTCCTGCAGCTGAAAAAGCAAATGCGCCACTGGAATCAATGAAGTCGCCCCGGAGCCCAAATTTTATTGTTGTTTTTATTTTTATCGTTGTTTTATAATTTCACAAATGAAAATATAAATGTTTTCATGTATATGTGTAAAAAGCCATTGAATAATGAAATTTTAAAATTGTTGATTGTAAATTTGTCTACCATCACACTTTTCTTTATTAGTGACGTATCCTATATCATGCTGTGTGTGATCTGTGAGGATTGAATAGAGATTATTATTATATTAATACCTTCAAGACTAATTCGACGCAATCGTTCAATTGGAATAAATTAAATTGATGCGACTTTTTCAAAAACCATGTGTCTTGAATTCACAAATTCATAATTGAATGCTCACCTCGATAGCTTTTTTCGACAGTCGCGGTATGAACCCTTCGGGATAGACCTGGCGAGTGCTGAAACTGGGTTGTTCAACTGCTGCGGCTCTTCTTATTTCCTCCCATTTTTCTTCCCCGTACGTTTGCTTGATGTACTCTGACAAGTTTTCTATCAACAATCCGTACATGTTGCATTTGTCTGAAAATGAATACAATTTAAAAAATTAGGAGCCTATCAGGTGATGATACTGAAAATATTTGTCGACTGAAGTTTATGTCGCTATGTCGAAATAGCGAATATGAAAACGCTTGATGAAGAATCATTTGAATTAATTTATTTTAATTCAATTTGATTCATTTATTTATTTTAATTTTATTCAATTCATTTTTCAATTTGATGTAATTTAATTCAATTTCATTTCATTTCAATATATTATATTTTATTTTCATTTTATGTCATTCGATTCTATTATATATAAAAATGTTGTTTAGCAGATATACTTGAATTGAAGGGGTTATATTTTTAGGAGTGTTAATTTTTGGGAAAGAAAGTTCCCTCGATATAGAAAAAGAGGAGGGAATCTTCCAAAGAAAGGAAGGAAATAAAATCAATTTGGAAATAAGTTACTCTATACATGGATGTGTAGATCATGCAAAGAAGTAACTTTCAGACACAAACTAAAAGAAAGCCCTCCTTCATATAAACATTGAATTACACGAAAAAAAAATTCTTTCGAAACAAATACTTTTATATGAACACTGAATTATACAGAAGATAATTTTCTTTATTCAGTTTGTATTTCAAACATTCGTTGTGAAATAAAATCAGATATCATTCACATGAGTTCTAATTTAAATGAATGGTAACAAATTGCACTTACATGGAACACTGTCATCCTCACTGGTATACATCGATGTTTCGCCTTGAGACATTTGCCCTAAGGCTCTTCAGTACCAAATTGGATAACATTATAGAAAATACACACACTTCATTCATGAATTACGATTTTTAATGTCACGGAATGAGCTTGATCTGCTTATGTCATCGATGACATCGTAATGACATTCATTCACCTATTTGGTTCATATAGAAGTATTTGTTTCGAAAGAATTTTTTTCTTTCGTGTAATTCCATGTTTATATGAAGGAGGGCTTTCTTTTAGTTTGTGTCTGAAAGTTACTTCTTTGCATGATCTACACATCCATGTATAGAGTTATTTATTTTCAAATTGATTACTTCCTTTCTTTCTTTGGAAGATTCCCTCATCTTTTTTTGTATCAAGATAGAGGAGTAGAAAGCCAAAAACTTTCTTTCCCAAAAATTAATCACTCCTAAAAATATAACCCCTTCAATTTAAATAAGATTCCTCTTGGTTGGGATTGAATCAAATATGTGAATGAATGTCATTACGATGTCATTGATGACATAAGCAGATCAAGCTTATTCCGTGACATTAAAAATCGTAATTCATGAATGAATTGTGTGTTTTTTCTATAATGTTATCCAATTTGGTACTGAAGAACCTTAGGGCAAGTGTCTCACGGCGAAACATCAATGTATACCAGTGAGGATGACAGTGTTCCATGTAAGTGCAATTTATTATCATTCATTAAAAGTAGAAATCATCTGAATGATATCTGATTTTATTTCACAACGAATATTTGAAATACAAACTGGGTAAAGAAAAGTATCTTCTGTATAATTCAGTATTCATATAGAAGTATTTATTTCGAAAGAATTTTTTTCTTTCGTGTAATTCAATGTTTATATGAAGGAGGGCTTTCTTTTAGTTTGTGTCTGAAAGTTACTTCTTTGCATGATCTACACATCTATGTATAGAGTAACTTATTTCCAAATTGATTACTTCCTTCCTTTCTTTGGAAGATTCCCTCATCTTTTTTTGTATCGAGATGGAGTAGTAGAAAGCCAAAAACTTTCTTTCCCAAAAACAGATACACTTCTTTGAGTATAGGGCACTAAAAAGCATGGATTCTGAATTCCAGCCTTATAGGAATGAAAAATATATGAAATTTTCTCCATTTTGGGAACACCTCGTATGTCTGAGGCTGTATTGTTTTCCCTACAGTTATGGTGAATGATCCATAAATCTAAAGAAATGAACTTCAAACGTTCAAGCCAGTCTCGGATATACCTACACAGTAGGTTGAATGGACTGACGCCTTTCAGAAAACTACTACTCCCCTGGCTAAAACCACGAAGGGCGTTGAATTATATCCAACAGGCGTCAGTTCAAGAATCTTCACAGAAAATTTCCTGCATATGCAATTGGCAATACAACTGAAAGAGTCGGGCACACTTGCAGACCGGTTTCGGGCTCATTAGCCCGATGGAGCGGAGTCCTTATAACACTTTTCAATCATTGCTTCACTTGAACGGTATTTTTTCTCATCAAGAAGCAGTGTAAAATCAAAAGACAAAATTGTTTTTGATCCATTGTTTTGAAAATAACAAAAGTAGTGTCATTCTTAGCACAATAACTCACAAATTTACGAGTAGAATATCATAAAATTTTAACAGATTTTTTTAAAGGTTAGTACTAACTGAAAAAAAGGTGAATGCAATGAGACTAGCGTCATCAATGTGTTAGGTCCCAGACTCTTCAGAGCCCTTGTAGTACGTTATCAGGCCAATAACCAGGATGGATAGAAATGAATATGAAAATAAATAATGTAATTTTTTGCTCAAACGGTACTTTCAGATTCTTAGCAGAATACTTGTGGCTGCCCATCAGTCTGACGTGATAAGTGGATAGTTGGATAGTTGTGGATCGTTGGATAGAAAGTTCATTTTCTTGGGGTGTGTTCTTTTCAAAGGATAGTCGATTCTGTGCATTTGCTCCAAAAAGTTAAGTTTTATCAAATATCAAAGGAAGTTTTTGTTCTCGCCAACAATGGTTCTATTTTTGTCTTGTTCTGAGGAATCTATTTTTCAAGATGAGAAAAACTGATAAGTTCAATAAGGAATCTGTTGAGAAATTCATGAAATCAAACGCAAACATCCTGAAAGAGAATTTTTTTTAAATTGAATGAGCTATAAATACTAGTTTCAGAAAAACTGTTCATATTCAAAATTGTAGAACGGAAAATCAAAGATCGATGATGATGTTTCAAGTTTCAAGAGAATACTCATGAATATCTACTGATGATGCTAATTGTGTTGACGAAACGTATTTGAGAAAAAAGTGATTTAGTCAGATGAAAACAATTTGATGTCAAACAAATACACATTTCTTGTAAAACTTCACCATTGTTTAAAAATCGAACAAGTTTCTTCATTACGTAGGTGTATAACCTAGAAATCTTCAAAGTAGTTTATTTCATGACAACGTTTCAAGAGAACGAATTACCACGTAATTGGAATATTAGGAAACAAACTTTCGAAAGTAATCTGAAAGATTCATTATTCAGGAATGCAGCAGGGAAGCGAAACTTTATATAAAATCGACGACGAAATTCTATTGTAGACCAAATCTTAGAAGTAATTCTTCGGAAGAGGTATTATCTATTAAATTTTCCCGGAATTCTTGCTGCAGGGTTCTTTTCAGTTACATGGATATGTAGAATCTGTCATGTCATGGAATTACTTAAATTTTGAAACAGGATTACTAACTAAATTTCGTGTAGATCCTTAAGATAGTTGTGGAGAAATAATAGAGAGGTCGGTTCGATGTTTTACCATGAAAATGAGGCATGAGGATGTTTGATTTTTAAGAGTATACTCAGTGTAGGGTAAATATTGGTTTGACAGTGGAGAGATTATTTGTAAAATTGTATTTTTATTTAAAGTAGTTTCAATACCATTGATGGATTTTATAAACTTTGATTTTTTATAAGTTAATAAATATTTTGAAATAAATTTCTAAATATCAATCTCTCCCAACTACCTACAAAGTAGGGGTGGTGAACGTCTGTCAAAAAACAACTACTTCCCCAGCGTGGTATTAGCCAGCGACAGATAATTGTTCGGTAATGCCAATTGCTGACTCCGGACATCTTGAATAACGTACGGAACGCTTTCGAGAGTAGACTGTATTAATGAATGGAACTAGGTGGAGGTCATTTCGAACAATTTATCCGTTGATTTTATTTCCACTGATATTGTTTTTTGTTGATTTTCTCATTAAAATGAACGACAGCAAATTTTCTTTATTTTTCTCGAATAAAATGTTCAACATTCAATTTCTCAATAACGGATGAACCAATTTCGAAAAAAATTACAGAGATGATAGAAATACCTTTCAAATGATGTATCACTCGACCCCCCATGCCGTTGAAAATAATAGGGGGCTAGTTGCTGACTTACAGGGGAGGTCAAGTTTTTGTTGGGACGTCTGGTAAATTATACACTCAGAGGTATGAAAACGGCCACCTTGAATTGTTAACAAATTTGAATCTAGAATAACTTTTTTATTTTCAACCCAATTTTGAATTCTATTTTAATATAAGGTAGATCATTTTTCCAGATCAATTCACATCAAATACGAGTAAAAACAAAGTTATGTTATTTTTGAAATGGAGTGTTGCCTCCTCCAGCTTGCTTAGGTTAGGTTAGGTTAAATCCAAAGTGAGTGGGTCTATTCGACATTCCACCGCAACCCGCAATGGTTCATTGTGGCTGAGACAGATTCTGCTCCGAAACTAAATTTACAGAGAGGTCTGTTGTAGTCGTAAACTCGAGATCCATCTCCTCTGTAGACTCGCTCCTGAACTAAATTTACAGGAAGGTCAGTTAGAGTCGTAAGCTTGACATCCATCTCCTCTATAGACTCAGCGCCAGAAATAATTTTAAAGTTTACTCTGTCCATAAAAGTCCCACGAGTAGCTAGGGAAAGAAGGTTAATCACGGCAGATCCCCGCATTACCGTGACAGGACGATGCTACGACAAGAGGGCGCCCGGTATCTCGAAGGTTCCGTAAAGACAGCTGATAGGCTCAGTGTGATTCTGTCATTCCCGTATCCAGTGGGGCTAAGTGGAAGCAGGCATCCAATGGCCGGTTTGCTCAACCCCCACATCCCAAGCCAATGCACTGGCCGAAAACAGCATGCTATAGCTTGGACTATAGCTTTCATTTTCCGAGGTATATATACTTCTGGGACATGTTTTTCCACTCCTACGAGCGCAACACAAAGCTAATTTTTGTTCCCAGGTGGTTTTTTCGCTACCTCTCACACGTCTA